CCCCCCCCCCCCCCCCCCCCCACCAAACCAAAGACCGAACAGAAGTAGATAGATAAGCTCCGTCCCTCCGAGTTGGGAAAACAGAACAAGAACCCGGAAAAAGACTCGACATATCATATTTTGCTGGTCAAATCCTTCGATTCAGCTTTCATCAACTCATTGCCCCCGTGATGGCCAGAAAGGGGGCCGGCCGCATGATGTTCTCCCACACATGCCCATCGAAATTTGACTTTTGTCACTCCATCAATCATCCTTTGCCACTGGAACGAGGGGAACATATAAGATTAATCATACACATCACATTTTGCACATACGGTACTCAAGTCTATTGAGAAATTCCAGTGGAGATGAGAGTTGGGGCCCAGCACGAGGAATTGCAGTTTGCGGTTATTGCGGCTTGCAATGATGGTAATATGTGATTGGAGGTGTGTGTGTGTGTGTGTGTGTGTGTGTGTGTGTGTGTGTGTGCAGAAGAGGATCGATCTTGCAGCTATTCGCAAGTCCCAAACTCTGCGCTTTCTCTGGATCTGCTTCCACTCGATTGGTAGGGATATATCGAAGATAGACACATTCGGGATGAACCCTAAAACTATCTGGGATTCCTTTCGAGTTTGTTTTGTTCCAGACATTCCGCAGTGGACAAGCATCCCCGCGGAAGGGTCCAATCGGCTCTATCGATATGGAAGCTAAGAAGACATTCCAGACGAAGCTGAGAGAACGAGGGAGGACAGCCAAATCAGAAACCGTCGAAGTTTCCATTCCTTGGTCGCCGTCTCCTTCCCTCTTTCACACAAATCCCATCACGGGGAATCTGAATCTGACAGGCCCCAGGGGCCCCCAGTCGCCACCCCGTCATGCGAACCGACGAAGCTTCTGTTTCTCTTCTGGGCTGGGCCGGGTTACGATGCAGCTTCGATCCGACCATGATGAATCTAGCCCTAATCCAGCATAGGCGCATGACAGCTGGCAGCTGGAGAACTACCGATACTGTACTCCGTACCTGTCAGCCTTCAGGAACTGTGGGTTCGTGATCAACCTTTCACACGAGAAACTAGTGGGTTCAGCTTTATTCAATAGTAGGTCAATCTAAATCCCTTTCATGCAGGATCTAGGATACGTGATAGCAATCGCAAAAAAGGTGGGGTGGTGTTGTCGAGTCGACTGCTGTCAGCGGCGCATGTCCGTCGTCATATTTACCAAAACCAGTATATGTGCAGGCCAGAAGAACTCTTCTTTAGGGGACTAAGACAGGTAACTTAGAGAGCAGCTGCTGTCATGAAGCTCACGGGTGTGATTTACGGAGGACCTTCTGCTGCAACTCCGCTACAGCTACAGCCTGCAGCTGCACCTTCGCCCTAACAGACAGCCGACAGCACTCGGCACATCCGAAACTCCACAACCCCGGCGGCACTGAGTCCCCCCGTCCCAACCTTGCGCAACGTAGGCTATACATACAGCGGTATAGCCTGTTTCCTCATCCGCTCAGACACATGTCTCGAGGATGTCACAGGGTAGAAGTTCATCACTAGTCACTCTACTCAAGAATGGACCGGCATGTCGAGTTGCTTGACTGTACTCCGTAGATGTAGATAGTCGAAGCGCGAGTCCACATGCTGATCACAGCAATGGAAACCAGCACGCCTTATTTGGTTTACATATCTTCTGTTGCTCTCGTGGAGAGGTTTTGAGTTTAGCATCAACCAAGTCCAAGGCTCATCTCTCTGGCTGTCATCTTTGCGGATTTGACATGGCCATGGATGATCTTTAACTCGGCAGATAGAATAAGAAGCTGACAAGCTGGCATCGAAATCCCATTTCGAAGTGACCCGAGGCTTGTAAGCTTGTATTCAGCACTCCAGAATTCTAGTAAATGGCTGGTCGTCTGGATCGGCTGCTGGCCTCGTCATGTCCTCATCTCACGAACGGGCCGTAGTATAAACCGGGGGGGGGACTTTCCTCTGTACAGACGCTCGATAAGAGAGACTTACATTGGTCAGTGCCGCATAGACCGCGAGACGACGCGTGCCACTATCTATTGAATCTCTTCTGCAAGTATCGACCTGCCCACAAACAAACGCGGAGTGAAATAGAAGTAAAATGCCACCCCCGCCCTCACCCTCACCCTCACCCTCATAAACCTCATCAACCGCAACGAACCATTCGCTACACCAGAGAAGAAGACAGAAGGGATAATGTATACAACCAACCCAAGAAGAGATCACAACCAAAAAGCTCACACTGCAGGAGCAGCCACCTTATGAGTTGGTAGGCCACTACTCTGTGCAGTGCTACGAAACCCCTCTCTTATCCCCGAGGGTTTTCATCCCAGTTCTATCTCCCGACGGGGTGGAGGAGGGGGATATTCCTGCGTCAGGCGTTATTCCCTTCTCCCCTGCCGGGGTTCGAACGCGGGACCGAGTAAGCACCTTGACTAAAATATAACCCAGCAGCCACTAGCTTCGAGAGCAATGTGCGCGAGACATTGCCGAAGTACAGCTCCGCACGGTGTCCGTCCACATTAGTATTCTACATGGTGAGCTGAGGAACACTTCCACTCCAGGCCCGTACTACGTGGAATTGATGAAAGGGTCTTATCTCTTCTTGTTCCTGTACTCAGTAGTTTATCATACGATATTTATGACATCCACATTCCACATTGTTTTTGCCAAACATGCAAACCTACCAAGTCCATCAGCTGAACACCGTAATTTTCAACTATATACTTCACCACCATCACCACCACCCAAAACCTCCCATCACCCATCAAACTTTTCCGCCTCTGAAAAACAATATGCCTTAGCCATCACACTACTCCGTACCTTAGACCCATAAACACCACAGACCGACCCACCTTTTCCAGAAAACCCCAGCTCCAACCCACCAAACGCGATACATCACATCCCTCCACGCGCAACCCCCAGCCCTGAGCCGACATATCAACCTACCCATCCATCCATCCATTAATCCGTACAACCCGCGCCAACGACCGACCGATCGATCAATCAACCCAACCAGCTCACCACGACGCAAATCTCACCGATCACGAACCCGATCTATCCCACGATCAACATCTGAAAACCGGGAATTGAAACGAAGCAAGATCCAACCTAGTAGAGAACGGGGCATCGCTTTCAGCCGCGCTTCTAGAATGCGAGCTACGCCTCACTAGAACCAGGAGTGGGAGGGCTGTGCAGTAGTTTCATATACTTGGGAGATTGTGGAGTATAGTATATCTATTTTATGGGGCGGTCGAGCTGAAGTTTGCTTTTGTTTTTGGTTCTATGAATAGACATTTGGTGGGTGGGTTATTGTTGATCTTATGGTTTCTGGTCAAATCAGGAATTTCGTGAGAGTTGCTATTTACCACTGCTTGAGGGATGTTTGGAGGGCTAAGGGTTGTACCTAGTAGGCAGATTTGATTACGAAAGAGGTGTTGATATTAGATGGGATTGGGGAATATGGAAAGAGGCAGGGTCTTCCAAGTTAAACCATGGCAGCCGAACAAGGGCTTTATGGCTAGCCACCGCAGAACTACATTTACATAGGATGGGAGGCACGAGAGAATAATTCGTTCAAAACGTTTGAATGTTGATTTTTTATAGTTATTGATTTATTGGAAGAAAGGAAAGGAATCAAAGAAACTCACCGCAAGAAAGGGCCGGGCCGAATGCTCAAAAATCATTGTCGCCAATCTTGGCACCAACCGCCTATTCCTCCTTCAACACACAACCCCCCCGGGTCTCCTCGATGAACTTAATCCGCAGTGCCTGCACTCGATCCCCATTCCAGGGCCCGAAGATCCGACCGCGCCAGCCACCCCGAGACCGAAACCTGGGCTGCTGGGACTCGACGACCCGGGCTTGCGCCTCCCGCTCCACCACCCACTTCCAGAACTCGTCCAGCTGGCGCCGATACTGGCGGTCGAGCTTGGCGAAGTGAGCGATATCCGCCGAGCAGTAGTTGAGGAAGTCGTTGTCCAGCGGCCGGCGACGCAGGATGTGGCTGTCTCCGTCGCGGCCGAGATAAAAGCAGTTGGAGCGGCCGCGTTCTTTCTCGGCCCGCCAGCGGCGCGCCTCGGGCTCGGTTAGCCCGGCGTCATCCTTGATGCACGCCGCGAGATTGGTCACCCGACTGTTGTCGCGCCGCCAGCCCTCGGAGGCGGCGTGCTGCATCAGCTGGAGGTCAGCAACGCGCTGGAGGCGAATCTGGAACTGACTGAACAGCGCGTCCGAGCCATTCCACACCTCGAAGAAGACCTTGGTGCGGTTGGGGGACTCGAGGATGGCCTGGAGGCTGATAGTGTTGTAGAGACGGGAACTCGCGGTCGTGGAGAAGGCCCGCGCGCCGAGGGTCTCGAAGTCCACTGCGTAGATGTTGTCCATGCATTCCAGGTAGATTAGCATCAGGCTCAGGGTACCTTCGCGGGAGAGATTTACACCTTTCAAAACGATGTAGAGTGGCTCGAAGGGATTCGCGATGATCGTATCGACAAGGCTACGAACCCCATCTTCAGTGTCGATGAGATGAATGGTGCTCATTCTCACGTCGGCCATTGCTGGTAAACCGCGATCTTGCTGATATCTAGTAGCAGTCGACAATTTTTTGAACAATTATGCTGCTTCTCTGTGGAAACCTATCTTGTATGAAACGGTGGACTGACCGGTCGAGAATGGGAGTCAAGACCTGGCCGTTCCCATGGGTTTTATAATTGCAGGGTGGAAGCGTGGAAGGGATGTTCTTTGGGATATTTTAGGGAGATTCCCATAGAGCATATTGTTTGATCTTTGTCTGTCAATGCACTCGAACCATTCTTTGTTTTCCTCCTTTCGAAATTGAGCATTTCATTCAAACTGCAGGGATACATCAGTCCCTCCACTGCTGTCCACACAGTAACCGTGCGAGGACTACCACATGCTTTGTGACGCAGAACGATGGCGAGTCAGGCAGTCATCACGAAGCGATCCATAATCTTTGCGTGATAGAAGACGGAGACGGAGAGGTATGCATGTCACCGATGGATCTGCATATTAGTAGTCCAAGGATGTAATAGATAGGGCTAGAATATGGAAAGCTTCGAGTCAAGGAAGAGCAACAAAAAAGAAATGTATGCAAAAAAAAAATGATATATATCCCCTTGGGGAATAAAAAAGTAAAGATACCGAACCAAGTCTAAGTAGGCAGGTAGTCAGTCATAAACATACACAAAACACAAACATACGCAAATGCTCCGCTCCTTTCCACCACAAACCCTTACAGAGCATCCAGCTCCTTCAACTTGCCGATGAGTCCGTCCACATCCTCAACCTTACCACCACCCTGGCGAGCGGGAGGTTCTGAAGAAAGACAATTAGCTCCAGCTCCCTTCTCGTGACTGACAGAACACGCCAGGAAACTCACCGGTGACCTTGATCGTCTTCAACCGCTTCTTATCCTCGATGCCGAAGTCGGCCAACGTCTTCTTCTCGAGGGGCTTCTTCTTCGCCTTCATGATGTTCGGCAGCGTGGCGTACCGGGGTTCGTTCAACCGCAAGTCCGTCGTGATGATCATGGGCAGCTGCGCGCGCAGGGTCTCGACGCCGCCGTCGACCTCGTGTGTGACCTCGACCGTGCCGCTCTCGTCCTTGATTTCGACCTTGCTGGCCTGGGTCGCCTGCGGCCAGCCCAGCAGGCCCGCCAGCATCTGGCCGGTCTGGCCCTGGTCGCCGTCGATCGCCTGCTTGCCCAGCAGCACCAGGTTGATGTTCTCCTGCTTCACCACCGCCTGCAGCATCTTGGCCACGGTCAGGGGCTCCGGCCCGCCGTCCGGGCTGTCGCCCACGTCGACGTGGAAGGCCCGGTCCGCGCCCATCGCCATCGCCGTGCGCAGCGTGTCCGCGCACTTGGGGCCGCCCGCCGACAGCGCCAGGATCTGGTCCACCTTGATCGGGCTCTGCTTCTTGGTGTGCCGCTCGCGCAGGCGCACGGCCTCCTCGACCGAGAGCTCATCGAAGGGGTTGAGCGAGTGCTTGACGCCGGCCGTCTCCACGCCGGTGTTGGCTTTGTTCACGCGGGGTTTGACCTGTTTAGTAGGGATTGGTCTGTTAGTTTATCTTTTTTTGAATTCGGAAATTATCGCCATGTCGTATGGATATGAGCATGTTGAGTTTGATTTCAAACTTGGGACTTCAGTATTGGGGGAGTGCAGTGCAATGGCTATGAGGGCATCGTGGCGCGGAGATTCGACTCGGCAACTTCAACTTCTCACCGAAGCCGGAGCACGGCAGGGCAATAAAAACTCACCGCATAGTCGATAACCCGCTTGATGGGGACAAGAATCCGCAGGTTGCTGGCCATTGTGATTGCTATGTGAGAGATGTTGGACCAGGTGAGTACAGTTCCGATGGGCTCGTGAGGGGAAAAATGTAAAGAGCGCGAGGGAGGAGGGGGAAGAGAGATGGGGGAGAGAGGAAGAAGTGTTGTAGCTTAAACCGATCCGTCGGAGCAGTCACAGACTCACTCACAATCCATCCGCGGCAGAAAGCAGGTGACTCTAGGCGGAGAAGCCCCCGAGGCGGGCCGAGCTCATCGTCTCTCCCCGCCTGTGTCAATCCCGCCTCCAACCGAGGTATGTCAGGGCAGTCAAGGCAGATGCTCGAATAGAATACTACTTGGAGTCTTCCTGACAGCTGATAGAGGGCAAATGACCTCATTGTGCTTGAATTATGTTCTAAAATGGTCTCTCATGTCTCGTACCCCCCCAAAGGTCTATGCAGTCGGTCTCACTAACCGACACAATGATCACCACGTTTCTTGTTTATACCGGCCTGTCTTCTCCATCCCCAGCAGATACTGCTCGGCGCCCTGTTCATTGAACCGATCAGTCTCCACCTCCGGTCCGTGCTGAAATGCCTCAGTGAGGGCCTGCCGCACGGCTTTGGGCATATTCCCAGAGGATCCGCATACGTACACCGAGCCACGCATGTCATGCAGGAGTTTAAAGAGGAGGCCGACATTCTCGCGGATCACATTCTGAACGTAGACCTTCTGCGTCTGGTCTCGCGAGAACGCAGTCAGGACCTTCAAGCGGACCAGCTCACCCAGCTCCTCCCACTCTTGTTCGAAGAAGAAATCCGCCTCTCTGTTGCGACCTCCATACACGAGCAGAGTTGGCCCGATCGGGGGCTCAACTCCAGGGTTTTCTTCCTTGTACGCCTTGACGATCGCGGCCTTCTCCCAGATCATCGATCGCAGGGGCGCGATTCCAGTTCCAGGGCCAATCAAGACCGTCGGTCCCACTAGTTGATTGACCGATGAGTTGAGGCCCCCACGCTGCAACTGCACTTGAAGTGTACTTCCGGGTTGAAGCACCGATAGATACCGGGTGCAGACCCCCTGTCGAATGCGCTTGATGACTGTCTGATACTTGACGATAGCGACCAGCAGCTCGAATTTCGTGCCTCCCTCCGCTGTATGCTTGAGGGCGCCCCCGCTGGCAATACTGAATTGTCTCGCTCTCATGATTGGAAACACCGAGACCGCATGCTGCCATGGAATCTTCACCGAGTCGAACTCGTGCAACACCTCCAGGATGCTGCGTCGCGGCCGAGTGGTATAATCCCACAGTTCGTCCAGGAACTCGGGGTTGGTGAACTCCAGAAGACGCTCCTTGTGCATTTCGTAATCCGTGTAATGAGCCACTGTAGCGAAGAACGCTCGGCGAGGAATGGCCTGAATGTCGAGGTAGTCGGTAAGGAGAGCGCGTAAGGTCAGTTTGGGATATGAGTCGAGACCCTGAATAGGCGGAGAAGGCATATCCTCGTCGTCTGCCGAGAGTAATGTCGGCCCAGGGACGAGTGTCACCGGCCGATCGACATCTGCCTCCCAGCCCATCATCGTGATGAGATTGTCCACGTCGACGGCGAAGTTCTTCGGGGTGATGGATAGCATATCTCCAGGAACGTAGGACACTGCTTCAGGGACAGTCAGGGACAAATGGCGCACATCCTGCCAGTGATTCGCGGCAGTCGCTCGCCTATTCTCTGTCAGGGTCGCCGTCAGCGTATCTGGCAGCGGCCGAAGATCATGACCGAGTCGGTCCAGCTCAGAAGATCCATTGACTCCTGCATCAAATCCTGCGGCTCGCTCCGATGTTAAGGATTCCTCCCCATCATCTCGTAGTTGCAAGACCCATTTCGGAGGCAGCTGAACGTTGTCCGGTATCGGCACCTGCCCTGGCGGAAGCGGATATGTGTCGAGCAGATGCTCACGAAGCCTGGTGAACCACGGGATAAACGTCCCCTCAAGACTATTACAAACCATCACATCAGCATCTCCGTATCTCCCGGGCTTTTTGCTGTCGATGAGCAAGGGAACAAAAATCTCACCCCTCGGGATGTTGCTGGTCCGCCTCTCCGCAAGGATGTATCTCCTCCGCGCCCAACTGAAGCAATCGTTTATGCAGCTTGCGAGCCGCCCAATTAAACCTATACCCAACGTCAATCAGCTTCCCATCTCAGTTACTGTGAACCTTCCCCATAAAAAAACATCTCCCACGCACTCACTTCGGATAGGAACTATCCCCCAACCCGAAAGCCGCAAAATTGACCCCACTCAAGAACGTCGCGGGGAGCTTCTTCAACAACAACGATCGCCAAAACGATCGCGCATTAGCCGGAAAATCGCCCTGCCCGGTGGTGGAAACAACAAATAGCACCAGCGTGTACGAATTGAGTGGTTCCTAACAGTATCGTTGGAGTCAGCGTTGGGGGTTCGTGCACACACGCACACTCTCCCTCTTAACCATCTACATCGCTGGCGATGGGAGAAACCGTACCGGCTTGTACTGATTCAATTCCGCAACATGGGTCTTGAAATGGAGCCGCTCGGTTAATGCGCCGAGCTCCTCGGCGACCTCTTGAGAATTGCCAGTTTCGGAGCCATAGAGGACGAGCGCAGAGCGTCTCTGTTGGATTAGCTGAGAATTGCTGCTCATTGCTTCTGGTATGGCACGTGCTTGCGCAATACCTGTAGTTGATATCGAAGGGCGGGAGCGAGTCACTTCCGTTTTTGCGGTTTCAATCACTCGCTCACTCACTCTCACTCTCACTCTCATCCGCTATCTTTTTTTGGGAAGCCCCCCTCCTCCGGAACGAAGGCCTTTTGCGCCGACAGAGCGGGATGACGTCATCCCGACGATCGGTCGGTCTCTTCGTTGCGAGGGGAATTTGGGGTCTTTTTTCACTGGTATGGATTGCTGGGTCCTGAAGTCGAGTTGATAAGAGTCTTCTACCTGGTGATATGTATATACATAACATCAAATCCTTTGAAGAAGCTATTTTTTTGACAAGAAACCATTCTTACTGATTGAACCTAATTACAACTGCTCACGAACAGTATGGCTCCCCCAAAAAGAAAACACGGCCAATTACACATGTCTCAAACCATAAAGCCCGATAAATCGCTCAGATTGATAAGATCGAAGGAGATAATGAATATAAGGGTATCTTAAAAATAAGCGCCCGCTTTTTAATACGTATCCTCATCACCACCCCCGCCGCCACCATCTCCGAACCCATCGTCGCCGTATTCATCGTCGCCGCCATCGAAGTACTGCTCCGCGTTGTAATCCCCACCCATATCGTCGTCGTCATCCTCGAAGTCATCATCCATGATCTCCTCTTCCTCCTCATCGGGGTCCAGGACCTCCCGCTCATCATCCTCGTTCTCCGCATCGCCCTCCTCTGCGTTCTTCCCCTTCTTGCCCGCCTCGTCGTCCTCCTCATCCTCATCGTCCTCAAAACCGCGCCGGATTCCGGGCCGATCAATGCGCAGCACGTATCCGTCCATCGCAGCATCGGGCTTGAAGCTCGGCTGAATGGTCTGCCACAATTCCTTGGGGAAGAATTTCATCACTGCAGCAGCAAAAACAGCCCCTCAAAGTTAGCAAATGTATCTCCTTAGAAGTAGAAGCCCCCCCCCCCCCCCCCCGAACTAGTAAAACCAAACAAGCAACCCCGAATTTTCCACCTCAAGCACAAGGGAACCACAAAACGGCATACAACTCACCATACTCCCTCCCCGCCAACTTCGGCAACGTCCGCATCTTTTTCTGATACTTGCCCGAGTACGAGGGCATCCCATGGAACGGGTCGAAGTGTACCCGCGCGGCACTCTCCTTCTTGGCCGACGACGTCGCCGAGTCCAGCACAGAGTAATACGGCCCATCGTGGAATCGTTCTCGAAGCGACCGGTACTGATCCACCTGGATCTGCTCGTGGGGGGTTAAAGGCCTGGCGCGGGGGACATGGTATTTCTAGAATGTCGGAAAAAAGGTTGTTAGCATGGGATCCGTATTGGACCCCGACACTGATGCCGGGAAAATCCTTGTTTCGAGAAAAAAAAAAATAGACGGAGGCATTCGTTCCTCCCAATGAAAGACAGACAGAAACATACCGGAAAAAGAGGCGTCGGCGCGGTGTCGTTTTCTCCGCCTCCTTCACCAGTTTCCCAACTGAATTCTGCTCCGGGGAGCTTGCGGCCCTTCTTGGCTCCGAAGCGAGACATGGTGGAAAGAAGATGAGGGGTATGCCAGATGGAGAGATGGTGTCGATTTCGTCCTGGGCCTCTTCGTCCCGTCACAGCGGCAGTAATGCTGTACCAAGGTCGAAGGGCGACGGCGGGGAAGACTTGCAACGAGAGTGACTTTCAGAGGGGGCTGCGGCGCGGCTGGAGAAAAAAAGTACAAGGGCTCACCACTGACTTCTGGACTCCCGGGCGGAGCTTGGAGTCACCGCCTTCGGAGATACGCTGAAGTAGGAAATAAGGGCTTGTCGCGCGGGAGCCCTGACATCTTACTTTCAAGAGTCAACCAATCAGATTTCAAGACGTTATGTACTGCGTGAGGTTTCCTGCATGCAGTGGCGCATATCATCTACTTGTCTCAGGCTTGTACGATTAAGACGCTAAAAATAACTAAGTCGGCTTCCGAGAACCACTGAAACGAAGAAGAAAGTAGCAGAAGTACCTATTACAACCCGACAGTTGCAACTTGGTTGCCATGTTGAGTGGTTGGCCCCCATGGGCCCTCGTTGACGCGTTGACGGAGTGTACGCATGATATCGTCGAACCCAGCCATCTGTCCGCCGCTCTCTTTCAAACCGTCATACAAAGCGACCAGCACCTCATGCTTCGCAGTTGCCACCTTCCATACCGCGTTCTGTGGATCTGCGGCACCGCCTCCAACAAATTCGGAGTACGAGCGCGGAGGTTTGAAAAGGTAGGGCAGTAGGACTGTAAGAGCCGGTGGTGTCAGAGCGGCCCAGGCACCACTTGACGGAAGAACGCCCTGTGTCGCTGGAGAAAGAGTCTCCAGGCTTTGTTCAGTAGGGAGCTGATACCTGGTATGGCCAGGAGCAGAAGTCGGCACTTCGGCCGGCAAGACCTGCCAATTGGCGGTAATAATCGCTTTCATAAGTGACATAGCGGCCAAGGAGACATCCTTCATAGCGAGGATGTCGGCGGTCGCGACAACATCCGTCCAGAATCCAGTGTGCTGATTCGTGTATTGGAAGTAGAGGACCCGGGCGGCCGCTGCTTCTTGGTGCCAGTCGGTTGGGGTCTGGCCGGACGTGTTCAGCTCCATCGAGTCAGCCAGATCGGGTTTGACCGGGCCATGAAAGACCTTGGCGAGCACGTCGAGGGCCTCCTTGTTCGGGGGTTTACTGGGAACAGATAGCACCGCGTTCAGGCCTTGCTTGCTGGCTTCCACGAGCAAGACTCGAGGCAAGCAGGAAAGCACGTTCAATTGTCCGCTGGGGACAGGCCCATGCGCCCATTGAGCGGACGAGATTGCCACAGATGCAGCGACGCGAGATACAATGCGGTCTAGCAGATGTCGGGGATTCTGCAAAAGGTGGTTGGGGTACAGTTCAGCGTACTGTGCCACGTAGGACATGATTGGACCGCAAAGATAGGCCAGGTCGATAGAGTCCAGTTTGGACTCATCGAGGTAGAACTCCAACAAAGTAGTGTGTATATCGTTTAAGATGAGGAAGTCAAGCGCTGGCGAGGAGAAGGTAGACGCGGATTGTACGGTCATTCGGGCCATGAGACCCGGGGCGTCGATGGCCAGCAGGTCATGGAAGAAGTTGATCAGAGTCATGTGCATCAACACATCGCCCCGGTCAACCATCCTGCAGGCGACAAAGTGAAGAAGGCTGTCGCTCTGGTACTTGGTTTCCACATCTGCGACTTGAGAACTTGAGATGATGTCCCAGCGCAGTTGCCCTGCCTTCACGAGGAAGCCCATCAACCTCCCTTGAGCCACTGTCTTGTCTCGCTTCGAGATGCCTCCAGGCCCATTATCCTCGAGACTGCATATGGAGAACAACAGTCCATAGACATCTTTATCCGTGAAGATTCTTCTCCAAAACAGACCTTGACCAGCAGTTGTTCCATCAGGCTCATGCTCGCCAAGCTCCAGCGGACTAGCGAGATCGATCTCCAACAAGGTCCAAATGGTGTCTAACGCCGCTTGAGCGACAGCGGTAGACGAAGTCGACAGCCAAAGCTCTACCAGGGATGCGACGAGCTCAGAGTCCCCCGCGACAATGGCAGCATCACTCGGGACTCTACCCGCTTTACTCAACAATGACAAGGCCAAGAGGTTGACTGGTGGGGAGGGCGCTTGGAATCCCGCGATGAAATTTATAGGAGGGTCAACAGCACGGAGATCACTAAATGAGAGATACCCTGCAGCTTTTATTGCAAGCGTTGTGAGAGGGGTAGGGTCTTCCTGAAGCACCGGCAAGAGCTCCGAGATCTGTATCAGTAGAGTGGCGGGGACATTGCGGTCCGTATTCTCCGTCAGTTCTAACTTCAGCTTATCTATGATATTAGTATCCAGCTTGGTAGAAGGATCACGCTGGATCTGCTGTAGATGAAGTCTGGCTTCCTCAAAGGTCGTAGGCACAGCCATGCTGTTCTAGTGTAGCTTGTTCTGCTGTGTTGTTGGAGGATGAATGCACCTGGATTGATGCCCGCTCAGCGCGGGGAGGAGGGAAAGCTGGATTGCAAACAAGACAAACCGGTGACAGCTCCGCTCGTACCTCCGGATATGATGAGAGAGCATCGCCAACTCCATCGCAATCACCAACTCCCATCATCACAATTCCCAAGGTCGTGACACAATGTCTGAACATTTCGACTCACTTGTATCTCCCAAAGCATCTGACTCCGGCCTTCATATCCAACTTCACCCTCTAATCCTACTCACGATCTCCGATCACATCACCCGCCACGCAGCCCGATGCCAGCAGGGACCCATAGTCGGAGCGCTGCTGGGCCAGCAGAACGGCCGTGAAATCACCTTAGAGCATGCTTTCGAGTGTCTGGTAACGGAAGGGCCGAACGGGGAGGCTCAAATTCCGGATAACTGGTTTGTAGAGCGAGTCCAGCAATGTAAGTCGTACACCTCTCATCCCTCCCTCAGGTCAGCCCCGATAAACTGACATCTACTCTACCTCACAGTCAAGGACGTGCACAAAGCGCCGGCGCTCGACCTAGTCGGATGGTGGTCGACCTGCCCATCCAGCGGCCCCAATGCATCCTACCTACCCATCCACCGCCTGATCCTCGAGAAGCACAATGAATCCGCGGTATTTCTCGCATTCCACCCTGCCGAGGTGGCCGGAGCATCCTCAAAAGGCGGCAAACTGCCTCTCACCATCTACGAGAGCGTGTACGAAGGAGGCGAGAATGCCAACACCAATACCATGCAAGTCGACAGCGAGGACCAGCCACCAACGTTAAGCATCAAGTTCCGCGAACTCCCTTACTCCATCGAGACCGGCGAAGCCGAGATGATAGGCATCGACACCGTCGCACGAACCGCCCGCAACGCAGCCATCTATCCCTCGAGCACCAACACAGACCCATCGCAAATTAGCAAGGCCAAACAATCAACCAAGGAACAACAGCAACAACAACAACAATCATCAACCGAACCATCAGCCCTCCTCTCGCCCGAAGAAGAAGAGCGTACGTCCTCCCTCCCCCTGCCAATCCTCGAAACCAAGCCCCTTAGGAAATACTAACGAAAAACAACAGTAATCGCCAGCCTCAACACTCGCCTCAACGCCATCCGAACCCTCGAATCCCGAATCTCACTCATCAAATCCTACGTCTCCAGCATCTCCACCTCCCCCTCCAGCACCAGCAACAGCACCACCACCCAACAACCCACAACAACAACAACAACAACAACCCTCTCCCACCCCATCCTCCGCAACATCAACGCCTGCCTCTCCCACCTCTCCCTTCTCACCCCTCCCGCCAATAGCGCCCTGAACCGTGAAACCCTCGCCCAGGCCAACGACGTCCACCTCGTCGCCCTCCTCGGCCAACTCAGCCATAGCATCAGCAACATGCGGGAACTGGGCAGACGCACCGCCATCCTGAACAACGCCCGGCGGACCATGGCCGCGGCCGCGCGGAAATCCGGCCTGTCTGGCGGCTTGGGCTCTTTGGGTGGGAGCGGTGGTGGTGGGAGTGGCGGTGGTGTGGACCTACAGATGCGGATGGCGGGATTGCAGGGGCGGTATGGTGGGGAGGAGATGCTCTACGGGAGAATAGGGGGCGGCGGGGATGGGCTATAGAGTGATTTTCTGAACGGATGGAATGATGGGGGGGGGGTTCTCTGCCCTCAGCCATCTGCCCCGGGAACAATTTCATGAAGTCGCCCCATTATTGTTCCATCCTTTAAATACGTAATGAGATTATGGTTGAAATGTTTCTTTCGTGTAGATAGAATGAGGAATGTCCGGATTCCTCATCCTTACGGGCGAAGACACATCGAGTTTGTGGCAATAAACCTACATGCAGAGATCCTCCAACTCTATGAGAGGTCGAGAACATAGACAAAGAGTGCAGACCCACTCCTCTCCAAACCAGAAAACACAAGGACTTCAAGAAAATCTCATCAATCCGCGATACAATCAATATTTCATGCCATGATCTCGTACAATGTGAAACAAGAATAACGCAGATAAAGCGCCATCGGCCAGATGACCCAGCAAACAAACAGAGGGTATTATACGACAAATCCAACAGGAATAGAACCAACGCCATAGAGACAATATGAAGGTGACGGGTGACTGGGATGGAACACCGTCAAAGACAGCTTGCTGTAGAAAAGAGAATGGTAGATGCAACAACCAGTGCTACGAGGTCTAGGTCATGTCATGTCACGCGCTTCGGTTTGCTTTGAGAAAAAGCTTTTGATGCAAATGCAATGAGTCCGCTTGGAGGGGCCCCCATTTACCTCCGTTGATGACTCTCAATATCGTATCCGGGTGGCGGGGTTTGATATGTTTCTGGAAGAGGGATCGGAGGTTGTTCCTGGAGGGGAGCTTGTTGGTAGGGTTGAGGGTGGGTGGCTGTAGCGGTGGTGTTGTCCGGATACGGAGGGTTTCCGGGGGTGGGCGTATCGTGGTGATAAGGGTCGTGGGCCAGATGCTGAGATTGAACCAAGTACGGATTGTATGCATCCTCATAGGATGGGTCTGTGTGAGGAGCCGTGTGCGAGGGTTGCGGTTCCAGTATAGACGAGCCGCTCAATCGATTATGCGAGTAGAAGCGATTCGGATCACTGTCATCGTGCATGCCCGGGGCTAGCCCGCCTGGACTGGGCTGAGCATGAGACAAAAGCACCTCGCCTTCTTCGTCGCTGCCATATCGCCCTGCGCTCAATGCCGTTGGAGGCCCTTGGTATGCGGTTCCGTACGGTGGAGTGAGGTTCTCAGTCGCATTCAGTCCAAACGCCTCGGTCGGCGTGTGGTAGCTGGGATCCAGCGTCCGCTTCTTGCGTCCCACAAACAACCAACGGAAACTGCGACCAACCGCCTTAGCAAGGTCGACAGGGTTGAGCGCATCCAAAAGGCCTTTGAGGCCAAAGCGACCTCCCTGATAGCTGGCCTTTCCATTACCATAAAAGTCGGTGACATCGGAATTTTGCGCAAGAAGCGAGTACGGTTGCCATGCGAAGGCCCACAGATGAAGGACCGAGAACATGGCCATTTCGATACAGATGAGAATGTTTGGAAGTCCGACCTTCAAATCCGGTGACTGGATTGTCTTATTCGCTTTGATGACACCCGCGGAAGAAAGGAACGAGATCAACGTCTGCAGGTACAATTAGACCAGTTGCCACGAGAGTAGATTACGGAATGAGCCCACTTACCGACTGCCAGAAAGACAAGAAGATCACGAGTTTGATGGAAAGAATCTTCAAGAAGGGAGAGTGTTGGCTGATGTCGTCTTTGAGCTGAATGTAGAACTGAATCAGGCAGTACATGGCGATCGAGACAGCGATACACTCTACGATCATAGTCTATCCAGGCAAGAAGGTCAGTCGAGGCACGCCAGCCATCGGGCGCAAGAGCACATACCCAAATGTGCGAGAACGCAGGGTTGAGCGATTCTTCGCAGTAAACATTGTAGTGTTGCGTGATGACGGCGATAACGGTCATAAGGACCCGGAGGACACAGTATTGGAAAACCCCCACCCAAATGACCTGTGGTCTCTTCGTCAGCTCATGACCGACGCGATTGAGACATCGAACAGACTCACATTGAACCAAGTCAAACCACTGCGAGGGGTTCTCCACACGCCTTTCTCACCGCCGGAGATCTTTTGCAGCCATGGGATAGGCCAGACCCAGGGCTTGGGCACCACGCCACGAAAATACTCTTTTTGACTATGCAGGTCGGGGGCGACATAGGCGCAGAGCAGGGAGAAGAAAGCGGAGATGGCGAAGGCTTCGTAGCAATTTCCAATCAAATCGTAGTACACATCGTTCTTGTAGAAGTACGTTCCGACCCACGCGACGACCGAATAAATAGGTATCATCAATAGGATTCGTATTTGACTGTGAGATGCAACATGATAGCATTAGCTCTGTGCGACTCTGGCTCGGCGCGACGATAAGGCGGGAACGTACTGTCGTTGCTCGATCGGCTTGCTGTAATGCGTAGCATGCATCATAATAAGATAGAAGGAAACAATCATGGAAATCAGACCAAACACCCCGCCGACCATGAGGCACAGCTGGTGAAAGGTGATCCCGCCTTCCCAGAGGTCGACCTCCGTGACTATGCGAGTGAAAATGGAGAATCCGCGTCAGCTCAACTCAACAAACAACCATAGCGTCGCAAATTGTAGCGAAGAGCGGGCGAAGGACGAAAAGGGACATACTGGTCTCATCCTCGGCGGTGGAATTACACACCGGCCAGCCCATTCTTGGGAGTGGGAGTGGAAAATGAACAGCTGAACAGTGAGAGGCCTCAGAATGCGCGAGAGGTTATAGGGGAAACGAAAATAATAGAGGTCTTCAGGATGTTGTGGAAGAAGGGGGAGTAAAATCGTCGCAAATTGAATGGAGAGCGAGAAACACGGTCGACTTTCTATCTTATCCGCCCAGCCCGGCTTGGCCCAAGAATGAGCGACTGAACCCCTGGGAGAGCCGCCCGAGATTAGACTTCCGTCCACACTTTTGTCGCCGGTGGAACTGCAAGGATAGTAATCGTGGGTCGAGCGGACAGAAAGTAATGGGGTGTATGTCTGCCACGCTGGAACAGGCGCCGAGAAAGCGTGAGCTGCGTGTCGTGTTGCTTGGTGTTGCTTGGCAGGAACAGCGTCTAATAAGTGAACAGAAGAGGGGGGAAAGAGCAGAAGTGGAGGAGAGGGAGCGAGGAAGAGAGGCTGGGGATCAACAGTGATCGGCCAGAGGGGGAAAAGAAATGAATGAGGGTGTGCACAAAGCCAATACTCTTGGGGAACAATGAAGATGATGGGTGCTGGTTGTGGTACATCGGACTGTTGATCCGAATGCACTGTATATTGCGTAGTTGGAAAGAAGTACTTTGTAGGTTAGTTCCTGTATTTAGTCTCGGTAGTTCAGTGGGAGTAGAGTATAGTATAGTATAGGTATGGGTATAGCATAAAACCAAGGGAGGAGGAGCAGATGAAACGAAACACAGGTGAAGTGAGTGCACTTACTCACTCACTTCATTTCAATTTGCATTGGAATGAATGCTTTGTGATTGCTGGGATGACGAACCACAGGCACCAAAGTTAACTAACGGAAGTCTGGAGGAGGCAATCTCAAATGAGTGACCATACCAATACACGTCATCTTCATTGTTCCCCGCCATAAAGACGGTAAATTAGCTCAACTTACATCACAGCTGGTATGTACCGAGTCCACTGGCCACGGGCTGCGCCACTTTCCCGAAATAGCCGGAACTGCCTTCAATTCCACTCTTGCGACTCCGTACTCCGTACTCTTTTGTCTTTCTCGCTCATTTCCCCCCTTTGTCTATTGGAGAATGGAAAAGATTCAAACACATTTCTAACGGATCACCACAGCCCCGTTCATCATTATCTTCTTCTTGCTATTAATTACTCTTTTCCGCAGTTAAACTGGCAGCCAAGCAGAATTGTTCATTGCATTGTCTAGTGGGGGACTCCACAGTTGTGCAGTCATCGCCTAATTTACATTCATACTTGCCCCCCCCTGCCCCTCGCAATGTCCCTTAACTACTACTGTACACGTGACGGATGACTACATCCGTACAATCACTAGAACAATAATGAGGAACCGGATTGTCGGAACTTGAAAAATCGTTACCATCGACTGCGACGGTCGTCTCGCCACGAATCACCCATTCCTCCCCGTCCTCGGCCGCCACGGCCGCCGCGTCGGCCCCGTCCACCACCTAAATACTCCGGCCCCTTGTCAACAAATAGGTCACCGTCTTCGAAAGTGATACGACGGGTCTCATCTCCTCCCCGTCGGGGGAATGCGCCTTTTCGTAGCAGGTCGTCGAATCGATCGAGACGCCGGTCGGCCACCTCCCGGGTGACTGGCAGATAGTAGAGCTTAGGCTTGGTGGTGGTGGACATGAACAGCTCGTCCAATGGCTTGAACCCTTGGCCCGGGTGAGAATCTGACCGTGCGACACCAGGGCTACTGGGTCGTCGAGTCGGACCACGACCCTCTGCACGGGGACCGGTGGGCGGTGGACGAGAGAAGCCAGCGAGATCAGGTGCACGCGCAGCTTGGGCGGCCGGTTTGCGGGAATCGACTTCTTCTAAAACAGCCTCGACACCGTCGTCTGTACGGTCGTATCTCACTTCCCATCGGGGTGCGGGCCCGCCACGCTGCCGGGTCCCCTCCTCTCGTTCAATCCATGACTTTAACTTGTCTTCGGGAATAAAGTCGACAAATAACGCTTTTCGGTTGCGTTCGTTAGGCCATACGGTCCCGTGGAGGGCCGTTCGGACACGCGACGCGGCCGAGACACTTGTAAAGCTCACAAAGCAGTGTGTCTTGATGGGGTCCAGGTAGTAATCGAGGATCACATCAGCATTCGGGGAAGCATCAGGTGCCGATGCCAGAGTAACCAGATGACTTCGCAGGGCCACCGGCTGCATCGGCCGCATCAGGCCTCCAACGTAGAGCGCAGCAGTGGCAGCATGTAGGGCAGGTTCAACTTCTGCCTCGTCCACGGCAACGTCAGGGGGAGGAGACGGCGGACGGGCTTGGTCGGCTCCCGGGCCCGCGAAGAGACCTTTGAAACGAACATCGTGTTTTGGCGGGGCATCTTTCTTGGCTGCGAGGGTTGTATCGTCAGCGACCGGGGCAGATTCCGTTTCCCGACCTGGCGCCGCCGTCTCAGGCTCAGCACGTGCCTCAGGGGGTTCGCGCGAATGTGCTGCCCCTTCTTCTCCCGGTTGATCCACCTCCATCATAGATGATCCTTGATCTTCAGGCAGAAGCACGCGAGGCTCTTCCTCTTGCGCCTTCGCCTTTTTGATGGCCAGAGCTTCCGGTGTGGGCACAGGACTCTGGCTACGTCGCTTGCGCTTGCGTCGATCCTCCAACAGCTCCTCGGTGGGAAGAGGAGTTGATAATGCTGTGTTCAATTCCGAAGGGATACTCGTAGGCGGCGCGGTCTCCTTGAGCTCTGCATCTTGCTGCGGGATGGCTGTAGGTTCCTGCGCAGATTCGTTTCCGGGAGCCTGCTCAACCGGGGCGGCAGGTGGCTCGGCCGTCGTTTCCTGCACTGCTGAGGTGTCAGTCACGACCACCGTCTCTTCCCGCTCCTGCGCTTTTGTGCTTGGTTCCTCCTCCTCTTTCGGCTGTTCTGGCGACTCCTCCGCGACCTGATCGCCACGGGCAGCAGTCTCCTCTACTACACTCTCCGGTTGAGGCACCGCAGCCTCTGCCTGCTCCGGCGTTGGTTCCAGTGGCTGTGTTGAAACCTCGGTCTCTATCTGCTTCACGGTCTCTTCGGGGACCGGCTCCGCGTGTGTGGCCGAATCGGCCTGCGGCTTAACTGGTTGCGCAGGTTGTACCTCCTGCTGTACCTCCTCCGTCTCCGGTGTAGGCTCGCTCACTTCATCATCCTCCTCCTCCTGCTGCTGCGCATTATCGCGATCGGAGCCCGGTTCCACGGTCGCATCCTGTCCTGCAGCTTCGCGAGCATCCTCTTCCTCCAATCGGTCGATGATTTGTTGTTTGACGCGAAGACCGGTCTGAGCGATGCCGCGCCGCTTCAACTCCGCTTTCAGGTCGGTGACCTTCAATTTCGAGTAATCGGTCATATTGTTGGGGTACTAGTAAAGTACTAGGATCGGTCCGCGAGATGGCGGGGATTTAGTTGCATATAGAGGTCGCCTTGCGAGGGGCTGGTGTCCGATGATTGATTGTGATTCAGATGGGGCTGGTCATGGCTGTATAAATGAGGGTATATTTTGGTGGTTCTTTGGATGCGCTGCTGCCCCTGCGGTGGAGTGAATAGTTATTCAGACAGTGCCTTTGTAGGTGCAGTGGACGGTCGGTCGGGGCTGAGCTTGACTGGCGGAGGGTAGATGATGTCGTGCGCTAAGCCGGTTTGGGGCAAGGGGTACTGCCGCATGAGGCTTAGTGTGGTTCTAAGTGGAATTGGCTCAGCCTTTTCTCGATTAGGATGTTTTGGTGTGAGCCGGAGAAAGTAGAAACCAAGCACCGGCAAAGACGAATTGCCAAGCTCTGATAGAAGTCGACTTGATCAAGGCTACTAAACAGGCTGCGAGAATTCCATAATGATTCTATTATGCATATAAGACTATTTACTCGAGATCAATTGTCCGATATTGCATAAGCTATTAGTACCTGTTGTTGCCTGTCATCATCCTGTAAATATACTTGCCCTCAAGCTGTACGAACCTGCTTGAGATTGTACAATACCCGGGTCCTATTTCTCTTTTCTCCCAGGACCTGGCGGTACAGATTGAGCGTACGGAGTAAATACTCCAAATCCGAGAAACTAGTCTTGCATCCTAGGTACGCCAACAGAAACCAAGAATCTTCACACTGAAAATAGTGTAAGTACAACTTGCGAAGGCACGCCTTTCCACTCAGGCTCAAGACCAGCATGTCCAGCCCCCATAGCATGTACTCGCATCTAACACACTTCATAAGCTCGAGGCCAGACTCCATGGTATCCACCACGAGAAAGAATATCAAAAGGACCCCGGTCTGCAAATTTTTCTATAATGCTCTTTAAGGTCGCGTGATAGGCTAGAATTGTCCGTCGACGTTTCAGCAAGGGCCATCCGGTAGAAATACACATCTCCACATGCAAGTATACACACTGCGGAAGGAAATGGAGGCGTTCAAAGGGTAGGTTCCTGGTATCACTGATAAGGTACTGTACGGCGGAGTAGATCCCAACAGACATACCCACGTTTCTAACGCCTCAAGATGGATCAGGAACAATGATGAGCTTAGGCCCCAAAGCTTGATATCGGGTTGGTTGCCACAGGTCGGGTTCCGAGCCGATGACGTATGCGACTTGCGACTCAGATAAAGTCGAACCACTGCCATATTTCCATTTCCGGTGTTCGGATTGGCCCGGGGTTTGTTTACGCACAGACCTGGACCTGATATGCCTCAGCTTCTTTGGGGGTTTCTTGGGGAGGGTCACGATATCCACACGAGTTGATGTCATCGTGAGTCGATACAAAGTAAAGCGTATCATGCTACTCCGTATATTTAGACCTATAAGACTGGCATGATGGCTTCGCTTGTAAGAGGATCGAGTAACATACCAAGATCATATACTCTACCCTTTTCTCCCAAGTAATAATGACCCCCTCCCTCGACGAGAAGACGGATCTGAGTGATTCCGTATCCGCAAAACAAGCCCCCGTCGCCCAGGCACGCCCAGTAGCCACGGACGCGGACGCGCACATCCAACAACCCGGCGTCTCCCGCGCCAACTACACCGTCTCGCAGACCAAATCGGGCCTCCACTCAAAATACCACGAGGAAAGCAAAAACTATGTGCGTTCTCGACCCGAATAGGTGGCTGGCTGCCGCGATAAAGCTAGTTAATTGACCCCAATCTAGACCGTGCTCCAGCAGCACGTCCTCTTCTGGGACCGCGATGGCGACGGCCAGATCACCCCGTGGGACACCTACGTCGGCTTCCGGGAGCTGGGGTTCAACATGCTCTTCTCGTGGCTGGCGATGTTGATCATCAACCTCAACTTCTCGTACCCGTCGCGGCTGGCGCATTCCTGGTTCCCGGACCCGTGGTTCCGGGTGTATGTGGACGGGATTCACAAGGCCAAGGTATGTGACCGGTTTGAATCCCCGGGGTTTCGGGATGAAGCAAACAGGAAGCCGGTGGGGCAAGGGGCTGTTGGCCTTTGAGATGGATGTGTTTGTAACTGACTTTTTTGGACGAAACCTCTCAGCATGGATCGGACAGTGGCGTGATCGATAACGAGGGCCGGTTCGTACCGCAGGCGTTCGAGAATCTGTTTGCCAAATATGACCGGAAAGGCGACGGGACTCTGACGCTCGGGGAGATTATTACCTTGATGCACGGTCAGCGGGTGGCTGTTGATCCGTTCGGGGTAGGTTATCAACCGTCTCAGACTGACTAGTGGCTGCGGGGTGTGTACTGTATACTGATCGGTGAGTCAATAGTGGGGGGCTGCCGTCTTCGAGTGGGGGACGACATGGTTGCTGCTCCAGAAGGATGGACGCATCTACAAGGAAGATCTGCGGCAAGTGTACGATGTGAGTGATCTGCCAGTTGTTGGAACTATTCGAGTAGATTCTGATGGATTGCATGGCTCCAGGGCTCGATCTTCTGGAATATCCGCAAGAAGCGTCAGGAGTCGGGGCGTTGGGGTAAGGGCTTTGGATTGGGAGGAGATGGCATGATTGGTTCGGTCTATGTTTCGTGATTTATGGAATTTATATAAGCATCCTTGAACTGCCATCGTGAGATAATCTAAATCTAGACATATGGCCGAAGGAACTATCTATGCATAGATAGATAACGTGGCGTGTGGCCCGTCAGCTCCGAACTCCGCAGATAAAGCTTACGGAGTAGATTAGTAGGAGAGGCGCCGTTATCAATCAGCCCCTCTTCGGCGTTGGGTGCGGAGTAAGACTACCGTACCTATAGTAGGCCGGATTCATAAATAAAGCACCAGGGCCCTCAAACGAGTCCATATTCACCTCAAATCACCATTGCACTCTCCCCTTCTTACCAAACCCATCCACCATGTCCCCCATCCTCCCCGTCGACAACCCCACCCAGCCCTTCTGGCGCACGGAACTCGACGAACTAGATTCTCTCCGCACGACCCCCGACCTTCCCCAAGAGACCGATATCGCCATCATCGGCGCCGGGTACGCGGGCGTGACCCTAGCCTACTACCTCCTGAAGCAACTCGGCCACGACAGCACCACATCTTCATCGTCCTATCCGACAATCACCCTCCTCGAGGCGCGGCAGATATGCTCGGGCGCAACCGGTCGCAACGGTATGCCAGCCTTCCCTTCCCCAAGTAAGTAAACCTGCTTACAAAAGAAAAACAGGCGGCCACCTCCGACCCGACATCTATGGCCACATCCCCACGTACATCGAGCGATACGGGCTGTCCGCCGGGGTGGAGATCGCCGACTTCGAGCACGCGCACATGCAAGCGCTGAAGGATCTGCTGGCGGAGGAGCAGATCGACTGCGACTTCAACATCACGCGCAACATGAACGTGTACCTCAGCGAGGAGGGCGGGGAGCGCGCCCGCCGGGCCTACGAGACACTGCTGGCGCAGGGGGTGGCCGTGGCGAAGGATTTGCATTATACGTCGGCGAAGAACGCGGAGGGGGTGAGTGCTGACCCCCATTTTCTCTTTCTCTTGGCCTGGATGCTCTTAGAGAGAAAGCCAGTGATAAGGAGGTCTATCACGGCGATGGACCAAATCACAACTCCCTGAGCATGGACCGAAGCTAACACACACCCAAAGATCTCCGGCGTCAAAGGCGCAAAAGCCTGCCTCTCCTACACCTCGGGCACCCTGTGGCCGTACAAATTCATCCTGGGCCTTCTCCATAAGATCGCCTCGTCCCCGCAGCTGAACGTGCAAGCCCAAACCCCCGTGACAGCGGTTGATGCCACAGAAGATGGGACGCATCACACCATCCACACCCCGCGCGGCGTCATCCGCGCCCGCAAAGTCGTCTACGCGACCAACGCCTACACGGGGGGCTTGCTGCCGCAGTACGCCAAGAACATCGTCCCCTGCCGGGGCATCTGCTCGCACATCGGCGTGCCAGCGGAGCAAGCCAGCGTGCCCTTCCTGCCGTACTCGTACGTGGTGTACACGAATGAAGGTGGCGGGGGAAGTTATTTGATCTCGCGACCGGATGGGAGTATTATTGTCGGCGGGGCGCAATATACTTTCAAGGATGCGCGGGAGCAGTGGTACAATGTGGTGGATGATGGGACGTTGATCGAGCCGACGAAGCATTACTATGATGATTATATGCAGAGGACGTTCAAGGGGTGGGAGGAGAGCGGGGCGTATGTCAAGGAGATTTGGACGGGGAGTGAGTTTTCCCTCGGTCTCGATTCTTCTGGATGGGGAGGGAAATGCTAACATGAAGACAAAAATCCAAGTCATGGGGTACTCGTACGACTCCCATCCGCACATCGGGCAGGTCCCGGATAGTCCGGACCAGTATATCTGCGCGGGGTTCAATGGGCATGGCATGCCGGTGGTGTTGCTCAGCGCGAAGTGCCTGGCGGAGATGGTCGCGACGGGGAAGCCATTCGAAGAGACGGAGACGCGTCTGCCCCGACTGTTCAAGACGACGGCCGAGAGAATCCATAAGGCGCAGACGGGGCCGGAGGGAGGGGACATCCTGGGAAAGTAGTTGCCAGGTCCTCATCCGTGCTGATATATTGTACATAACCCACCACGATCGATTCCTTTCAAGATAGAAGCATGCTAGCATCGCTTAATGCACCATCGAATTCAAGAACTCACTCAGCCAGTCATCATACGCCGCCCCCAACCCCAAAGCACCTGCACCAACACCCGCACCACCACCAGACCCAGAAACATCCTGACTCAACGGGACGCCCTCACTCCCCCCCGCACTCCCCCCCAACTTCCGTTCCCAAACCAACCGCATAGACTCATATTTCCCCACCGACTGAAAAAACACCTCCCCCTCATCAACCTCCTCCTCCTCCTCCTCCCCATCCCCGTGTCCCAAATCCTCCCTTCCACCCGGATTCCCAAAAAACCCCCTCCCCCCCTCCAACCTCGCCAACGCCGCCGCCTGCCCCAAATTCCCCACCACACGATCCAACACCCCCAAAATATCCACCGCCCGCCGCACGCCCCCGCGATCCCACAGCGGATCCTCCAGCGTCGAGAGCCGCCACAGCGCGGCCAGGGTGCGGGCCAGCTGCGCGAACACCGTGAACGGGAAGCCGCTGTACTCGGCCGGCGGGATGGTGAGGAAGGTTTCGAGCCAGAGCTTTGTGGCGGTGAGGGCGGCGGAGAGGTGGTTGAGGTGGGGGATGTTGAGGGTGGGCGGTTGGGTTGCGGTTTGCGAAGTGGATGAGGGTTGGGATTGGGATTGGGATTGAGATGGTTTAGGGTTCGGGCTGGGGCTGGGGCTTGTGTTGAGGAGGAGCGAGGGTTCGGTCAGGGTTAGGGTGGTGTGGGTGTTGTGGAGGTGGATTATTTCTGGTTTGGGGCGTTAGATATGCTGGTCTTTGATGGGAGTTTTCTGTGAAGGTTCTCTGGAGGCAAGGGGGACGTACTGTATTGTTGGGTGTGCGGGGGAAAGTTGGTTTGGGCGGATTGGAGATAGCTGGTTAGGGCGTGTTGGTAGGTGGGGATTGGGGCTTGTAGAAAATTGGAATTGTCTGGGTGGTTTAGTTGCTCGGTGACGTGTTGGTAGCGGACTTGGTGGATGAAGACTTCGTCGTGGGGACTGTCGGGATGCTGGCTTAGGGTTTCGAGGCATTCTTCTAGGTATGGGGTCCAGCGGAGGGAGGAGGCTTTTTTGAAGAAGAGGGCGATGCTACATGCTAATTAGATCTGAGCGGTGCGTTTTGGCATGTTCCATGCTGCCGGGGCATACCTCGAGGTGAGGAGGTAACAACCTAGCACGGCTCGACGCTCCTCCTTGGACCGGACGGGCAGCGGGGGAGGACCGTCATCCACGGACGAATGGAGACACAACAGGAGAGAGTTCTCCAGCGAGGAGGGCTTGTCCAGCGAGAGATCATACACCACCGCAATGGCGAGCTGGCTGAACATGATCAGGTTGAGCTTACGGAAGACTTGTTGGCTGGACCTGGATCGAGGGTTAGAAAACCGAGGGGGGTGATAGTGGCGAACAACAAACGTACCAAGCGATAAAGATCAGGATGCCCAAGAGGAGATCGAGATCGCGACCCCCGTAGTCAAGAACCGCCTTCCGCGCGACAATCTCTTTGACCTTGTCGCAGAGCGCAGAGCGCTGCTTCGCGCTCTTCGAAGCCACCGCCATCACACATAGCCACGTGAACGGCCGCTCGCGCTGGAGACGCCGTGCCGTCGTCCCCGATGGGAAGTGGATGAATGGGAGATACGGCAGTTTCTGCGTGAGGAACGCCGTCAGACACTCTTCGGCTTGCCACGGCGCGAGCTCGAGAGCAGCGTCTTCTGGCAAGTGAGCCACCGAGCCGAGACCACCTGATGTCTGCTCGAGCGGCTCGGGGGACTGCAGCCGGACCCGCGGATTGCTCGCATTTTGGATTCCAATTTCAACGTCAGGTCTCCTCCGTGAGATACTGCGCGGGGTCCGTGTCCGGGGCCGCGGCCTTGCCGGCGTCGTTGTCGCGTTCAACTGCTCCTCGATCAAGTCAGCGTATTCATCTGCGGCCGCACTGCTACCAGATGCATGCGCAGCCCGGGCACGAAGCAGCGCGACCACATCGTCCAGCTTCTTCTCCAGCCGACCGCTCTTCGTGGCGGCGGATTTGCGGAGATTTTGCCGGCGCTGGAACGCGGAGGGGCGACATTCTTTGTTGAGGCGCTGACAGCTGTGGAGCATGCAGATAGTCAGTCAGGACAGTGGTGGAGAACCATGCTTATTGTGGAACAAACCCACCGTTGACATTGGCCTCCGTCTTTGGAAAGTATGCACTTGCATTTCGCCTGCGAGCAATTCATACATGCGCGGCCGTACGGGGCCGGGGAAAGATCATATTGCATTGAGGGTTGGTCCATGGCTGGTGGAAGCAGCATGGAGAGTATTAGTATGTGCGGAGGGGGAAACAAAACATGATGTCAGATTCAGAAAAGAGCGGGATTCAGTCAGATTAAATGGAGAGTCGCCGTAGGTGTAAGGAGATAAGGACCGAACGCCGTCGGTGTTTAGTTGGTGATTTCGTGACTGGTGAAAGGATTAAAGGCCGACGGACATTGCGGATTTTAGTTGGCCTCGGCCATAAGCCCTAACTGTATGACAGTGTATATAACTGCAGCATGAGGACAACAGAAAGAGAACATCATAACCAGCAAAGACAACACATCAGCCACAGGATTCAATACGCTTAAAAACCTCAACCATATACCACCCTCTTCACAATGTCTCCCAGCAACCGCGCCGCGTGGCTCAAGTCCGAAAAAGCCCATCCCCTCGAAGTGGACGAAGCAGCCTACACCCCTCCCCAGGAGAACGAAATCGTGATCAGGAACCAAGCCGTCGGACTCAATCTGGTCGACTATGCGATGCAAGACATGGGCACCGCCCTCTTCCCCTGGTCGACCTACCCGACCGTCCTGGGCTGCGACGTGGCCGGCGAAGTCGTCGAGGTCGGCCCCGGCGCCCTCGCCTCCCGCTTCAAGCCCGGAGACCGCGTGCTCGGCTTGACATCAGGCGTCGGAACCAGCCGACCGGCTGATGGAGGCTTCCAGTCCTACGTGGTCCTCACACCCCAGACCACCGCGCTGATTCCGCCCCAACTATCCTTCCCAGACGCCGCGGCAATCCCCTTGGGAATCTCCACGGCCGCCAGCGGTCTTTTCCAGAAGGACCACCTTGCCCTACAGTTCCCGCGCGCCCCTCGCGCCGCATCCACCGGCCAGACGGTGCTTATCTGGAGTGGCTCGTCGAGTGTCGGCAGCAGCGCGGTTCAGATGGCCGTCGCAGCCGGGTACGAGGTCTTCAGCACGGCATCGCCCAAGAACTTTGAGTTCGTGAAATCCCTGGGGGCAAGTCAAGTCTTTGACTATCGCAGCAAGACGGTGGTGGAAGATGTGGTAGCGGCTTCCCAGGGCAGGCAGAGTGCGGGAGCGTTTGCAGTCGGCGATGGCAGTGTGGAGTTGTGTGCGAAGATCGTGGCTCAGGTCGAGGGCAGGAAGTTTGTTTCCCTGGCGGTTCCTCCGACAGGGCCGCTGGGGGAGGGCATAGAGTCGAAGTTCGTCTTTGGAAGTGATTTGAGACACAATGAGGTTGGGCCAGCGATCTTCGAACACTTTCTGCCACGGGCACTGGAAGATGGCTCCTTCAGGCCTGCGTTGAAGGTGGAGGTGGTGGGACGGGGGTTGGAGTCGGTTCAGAGTGGCTTGGATACTTTGAAGAAGGGAGTGTCGGCGACGAAATTGGTCGTTGAGTTGTGATCTGGGTTTGATCTCGGTATAAACATGTAATATTTATATTCTTTTTGTGTCTTACTCTCCTCATGTCCGAGCAAACATACTGGCCTTCAACCCTACTGTATGCTTATCCCGCCTGTCATTCTACCGGTAGACAATTGGAGTCCAGTGGATATGATATGTCATGTGCGGTGACACTTTCTGAGATCTATCATCGAGTTGCCTGAAAGGTAGGCGGCCACTGAAAAGACAAAAGAACTGGAGAAGGTCGGATAGTTGTACTGCATCAAATGTGGCGTTCAATACTTCGGAGATTTATTGGCAGATAATGTCTCCACGGCTAAGCAAGGAAGGCAACCGAATGCCTACCTTTTAATCGATGAATCTTCTGTTCTTTTAAAGCAAAGACCGCAGCACACTTCTTATCACGCCGTGTGACAACTATCTGCAGCAAGACCTCGCCTCCATGGATACACATTTGACAGGAGAGAAGGACTCGGAAGATCTCACGACCAGCCTCCCCGACATCAGCCAGACCGAATTACCCCTAGAAAAATGGATCACCGGCTGGAAGTTGACAGCTGTCTTTACAGGCATCACCGTTGTGAGCTTCTTGATGCTGCTCGATATGTCTATAATCTCAACGGTGAGTCTACCTGGATTTCGAGCGCATGAACTACCACTCATCCCGGCCCAGGCCATCCCTAGAATCACCAGTGATTTCCACTCTCTCGAAGATGTGGGCTGGTACGGCAGTTCGTATCAGTTGGCCAGGTGAGCCTTTAGCCCTGCCAGTGTGGTTACTTGATGTACAATTGTTGACTTGATCTAGTGCTGCTCTACAGCCATTGGCTGGCAAACTCTATGCCAATTTCAACTCGAAAGTAGGTGTCGGACTGCTATTGCCCGTATAGACTTCAACTCAAGTTGAGCAGTGGACTTTCTTTACGTTCTTCACCGTTTTCGAACTGGGGTCCCTTCTCTGCGGTCTCGCTACCTCATCCAAGATGTTGATCGTTGCACGTGCTGTGGCCGGCATCGGAGGTGCTGGCATTCAGACAGGCGCTTTCACCATCATCGCCAACTCAGTTCCCATGAGCAAAAGGCCTTGTAAGCTTGAGATAGACAGTCCTCGAAGGAGACCGCTGACAAGTCTACAGCATTGATCGGAATGTCTATGGGCAGTAAGTGTGTCACGAACAGGTTGGTCTCCGTGAACATACGACTGACAGGACCACAGTAGCGCAGATGGGACTGGTGATAGGTCCCTTGCTTGGGGGTGCATTGACTGAGTTTTCGACCTGGCGCTGGTGTAGGCACCTCCTGCCCTGATCTCGGCTTATCACTAAACTGACTCCAGGCTTCTACATCAATTTACCCATTGGAGGAGTTGTCGCGGCCTTGATTGCTTTCATCGACATTCCAGAGCAGCTGCACAAGCCTGCAGCGTTGACAGTTGCTCGCTCGATCCACCGACAGTTGGACCTTGTTGGTTTCATCTTGTTCGCCCCAGCTGCGATTCAATTGCTTCTAGCGTTGCAATACGGGGGCAACGAGTACCCCTGGAGTAGCCCTACCCTCATTGGTTTGTTCTGCGGTGCAGGCTGCACCTTCATCGTCTTTCTTGTTTGGGAGTACCTCAAAGGCACAGATGCGATGATTCCATTCAAGATCCTGTCGAATCGGGTGGTATATTGCAGCTGTCTGAATTTCGGATTCCTGATGAGTCTAATCATCTGCAAAGACTACTACGTTCCAATCTACTTCCAGGCAGTCAAGGGGGCCTCCCCCCTGTTCAGTGGCTTATTCCGTCTGCCCACTATGGTACCGCAACTGCTTGCAGCGCTCTCCGTGGGCATGCTCGGTAAGTTACTGCTTGTCTGGCTTTAGATCTTGACTGATATAACACAGTCGAATGGCAGGGCTATTACCTGCCATACGTTCTCATCAGCTCCATCTTCAATGGCGTCTCAAGTGGTTTGATGGCTACTTTCATGCCAGACACACCCATTGGCAAATGGGCTGGGTACCAGGTATTGGCAGGTGTGGGCGAAGGTATGGGTATACAGCTGGTAAGCCGACCTGAACTGTAAACGTTTCGTACGGGAAACTAAAGCCAGCGCGTCTCAGCCTGTTGTTGCCGTGCAAAGCACGCTCCCGCCCCCCGAGGTACCTATTGCAATGGGCTTGCTAACGTTCAGCTCAACCCTGGGGGCATCTCTCTTCCTAAGCTTCTCGCAGACCATTCAAAATACAGGTTTGAGGGAATTGCTGCCGCGATATGCACCACATGTCAGCGCCCAAGAGGTGCTTACAGCTGGAGCAACTGGATTTCGGAGTGTCGTATCGGTCGCGGATCTCCATGGGGTCCTCCTAGCGTACTCGAAGACCATCGACCGCGTATTCTACCTCTGTGCGGGTTGCTCCTGCGTGTGCTTCGTGGTTGCATGGGGTATGGGATGGGGTAGTATCCGGTCTGAGAGGAAACAAGAAGAAGCATCGAGATCGTCGGTGGAGACAGCCTAATATAATCTAGTGTGCTAAGATTGAAGCATGAAGCATGAAGCATGAAGGAAGCATGAATCATGAATCATGGATCAAGACGGGCAAATCCACTTTGCGTATTCATCGTATACAGATACGCATCACGTGATGCGTGAGATAACCAGGGATTCCGATTGGGTGTTCATGACGCATGAGTCACCCGCGGAAAACTTGAAAAATGAGGCTTGTCCCCTCTTCACTCCTCCATCGTCCTACATTTTTTTCTCCAAAAAGTTGTCTCGCTCATTGCTGTTGCATTTTCCTGTGATTACTTCTGTCCTCACCCTCATACCCCATCGCTTCCCTGAGGCTTATTCTCGCCGGAATGGCCACGCAAACTTCTGGCGCCTCTGGCAAACTCCGTCAGTATTCCCCCTCCCCAGAATTTCCCCCGCCCCCGCTTCACATTCTGTCCGTCCCCGCGATTTTCGAGGTGAATGGCTACTAAATCCCGTAGAGAGAGTCGCCTCGCAACCTGAAAACCCATTTTCGGCCTTGATCACCGATCAATCCATCGCGATCATCCCCTCCTTCTCTCTCGAGTCTGGTGTTATCTTGCATAACGTTCCGGTGGCGTACACCACCCGCGGCAAACTCTCCCCGAACGGCGACAATGTCTTGGTGATTTGCCATGCCCTCAGTGGTAGCGCTGATGTCGCGGACTGGTGGGGCCCTCTGCTCGGTGGTCCCGGTCAGGCTTTCGATACCTCGCGATTCTTTGTCGTCTGCCTGAACAGTTTGGGCAGTCCGTATGGTAGTGCCAGCGCTGTGACCTACAAGGACGGAGACCCGGAGAAGGGCCTTTACGGACCCGAATTCCCTCTCACCACCGTGCGTGATGATGTGAGGTATGTTGTTCTCGAAAGATAAATGGGAGTATTCATGTCTAACGTCGACAAGGATTCACAAGATCGTGCTTGATGACCTTGGCGTGCGGCAGATTGCTGCCGTCGTGGGTGGTTCCATGGGTGGCATGCTTACCCTCGAGTACGCCTACTTCGGCAAGGATTATGTCCGTGCCATTTGTCCTATCGCCACATCTCCCCGCCATTCTGCTTGGTGTATCAGTTGGGGCGAGGCGCAACGACAAAGCATTTACAGCGATCCCAAGTACGAGGACGGCTACTACTCGTTCGATGACCCTCCTGCGACCGGGCTAGGTGCGGCCCGCATGTCTGCCCTTCTTACATACCGCAGCCGCAACTCCTTCGAGTCTCGCTTTGGCCGAAACGTGCCTGATCCCTCCAAGCGCCAGAACATTAACGGCGCCGAGAGATTGCCCAGTCCGCCCAACGAGCACTGGGCCGTCCACAACGATGGGCACAAGAGCAGTGGACGCAGCTCCCCTGTGCTCCAGTCGCCTGCGCTTGCCCAGCCGGCCGAAATTCTGTTCCAGGACCCGCAGTTCTCTGGAACCAAGACCTTCAGCAAGACTGTCGAACCAAAGGGCAACCAGAAGAAGCTTCCCACTTATTTCTCAGCTCAGTCCTACCTTCGCTACCAGGGCGAGAAGTTCGTGAAGCGGTTCGACGCCAACTGCTACATTGCGATCACCCGCAAGCTTGACACGCACGACGTCTCGAGACACCGGGCCAGCGCAGACTCTGAGAACCCTGTCCGCGAGGCACTTGGCCAAATCGAGCAGCCTGCGTTGGTCTTGGGCATCGAGACCGATGGATTGTTCACTTTTGAGGAGCAGCAGGAAATCGCAGCTGGTATTCCAGACTCGAGGTTGAAGCGGATTGAGAGTCCCGAGGGGCACGACGCCTTCCTCCTCCAGTTTGAGCAGGTCAACAAGTATATCCTCGAGTTCTTCCGCGAAGTTCTTCCGGACATCATGTCCAAGATTCCCGAGGGTGGCGCCGAGGCTGTGGATGGCGTGAATAAGCTAACCAAGAGCAGCACATTCGGCGAAGCGGAGGTGGAAGACATCACCGCCTGGTAAACTGACCATTCCGGTATCCAGATCGACTTTGGCGCAGTCATTGCAGCCTTCGCACACACACACACATTATTCTTGCCTGACACCAGAAGGGGAACGAAGTCTGGTCTTTCTCTCGGCGACGAGAGGACGCGCCGGCGGCTTTCGGACCCCGCCAGGACCAGGCGCCTCGGGGAAGTAGCGGTGCAAACTTTGTTTATTGTCATTCTTAAGCCAGTCAGAGAGATAAGCACTTAACTGCCTCTCTCGTTTCCTAAACAACAGGTAAGGCTGTAAAAGAAGCATCCAACTGCTCTCCATCGATAAGCCCTCACGAGGCGTGGTCTGTCTGTTTGCAGCAGCGCAGCCGCAATGCCCGGAGGGTGGTGGGCGACCTTTTCTACAAGAGTTCGATCGTACATAGTATGATGAATGAAATAGACAGATCTCGTTTTTTTTTTTGTTCCCTCTTCTTTCTGTCTTGTAGCCAGTCTCTATATTGCTTCCGTACTCCCACTCGGTAGTCTTCATCTTCCTATACTCACGGACATACCCATAGGTCTCATGTATACAGACAAGGCAACCCAACCCAACCTACCATGCGTTCGTTTACTCATAAATCCCTTAAAACCTTCTACCCCAAAGGCATGCACTGCACGCAGAGCGCGAACAGACCCTCTCCCACCCTGCACGAACAACCTTCCAACCAACGCACCCCGGGCCCCCGGGGGGGGGGGGGCTCGTGATATCCCTCTGCACCCTGCACGAGAATCCGGATTTCCGTCCCCGCGTAATCCGGGGATTCAATGCGTGTGTGTGGCACTGCGAGGCCCGATACAAATCAATCAGTGATTGCGATGACGTCGAATGGCGTCATGAAAGTTTGAGGCAATGGCCGGTGAGTGGGTGGGAATTCCACGAGCGCGGAGGGTCAAGTTATCTAACGGTAAGTAGTTATATTGCATGGCTTTCGCAGGGCTGCTAATTACCGTACGTACATGTACAGAGGAGTAGGGAGGGAAAGGCGGAGGGGAGGGGAGGGGAGGGGGTTTGATGCATGGCGGTCGGCCGGCTTGCTGTTAGAGGTGTCTGAAGTGTAAATCGTACCGGTGGGTTCTGTGGTGTGGAGATTGGCTTTCAGGGAGGAGGGCAGAGGGGAGGAGGGAGGGGAATATGATAGGTCTTTTTGGTGTTTGGGGACTTGTGTTGGATTTGGGGGGGTGGTGAGGTTGTCTTTCGTCGGTTCCTCTGTTGGGGGATGGTTGATTCGGAGTCTGGAGTTCTGAGGTTAGAGGTTAGGGGTTAGTTGATGTGATGGTCAAGGTTGGAAGTCGATTGTAGTTATATGGTAGTCAAGGTGTGAGGATGGTAAGCAGTGTGATACTGAAGTGGAAGGAAGGTGGTGTATCACATGATATCTGCTATACTAGACCCATCACATCCATCCAGGGTCTTTTTGACTTCTTCCCCTCTCTCCCTCTCGCTGGCATTGCCTTCACATGACTGCTTTGAAGCTTCGACCCTGAGTAATTCAGCCATACCCCTGTTCATCAGACAGGATTGTCGGAGATCACGGGAAATCGTCTGAATGATGGATCCGATTGCATTCCCCTGATCGGGGAGAGGAGTCTGGGTCCACCACCCATCCCTCCCTTGATTGATCCCTTTCCTGGCTGGCGAATTGAGAAGTCTAATCATCCCGAGCCCCTTGCCAGGGTTTCTTGCCAGAAAAAGGAATGGAATTCGGTCCGTGACTCATTCAAGCTTGCAAGGCTTGGAGCGTGAACGTTGAACGCTTAATTGCAATGGTCTGGACGCTCGCTGTTCGTCTGGGCAATGTGAAGCTTCAATGGCCCATGATGTCAGTCCGGTCCTTGGATATTCAGACCGAGACACACATCTGAAGCAGAAGAATCCCAATTGTGCGAAAACCTCTCATTGTTCCCAGCAAGGATACAGTCCCATCCCGTCTGCTGCCCTCCCTCTCCCGCGACAGGACGATCTGGATTCGGCTGGATCCTCCCTCTCGTCTCCCTGCAGCGAATGACCGTGCTCTGTACCCTGCATTGAAGAGTGATAGTCACTGCGGGTTCAATCTCGGGGCGAGCAGGGGTCCAGAGAGATGCCGGGGGACCAAACGGTACACACAAACAATCCCCAACACCCTCCACCGCAACAGACAGTCTGAGCGTCGCCAGAGTTCAACTCGAACTCCGTGACCGTAACCCTTCTACGCCTGCTTTTATGCCAACCACGCTTTCTCACCTGCCGTTTCATCCCTAACAAAAGTCTAATAGCTTGTTTCCCCGCTCGTTCTCCTAGAGTGGCCGCCGCCGTTGTGCGCGCGCGCGCGGCGCGGAGCTCCCGCGGGCCTCCCTCCTCCTTGCGAATCAGGATCGATCGTCGGGGAAATGCAATGCAGGTTGGAAGGCTATGAGACTCGTCCAGTCCTCTGCAATGTGCAATGCAAGCAAGCAGGCACTTCATATCTCTTTCGAGTCCGAGACCCTTCTGTCATCATGATGATGGGGGGGGGGAGGTGGCTTGTTTGTAGGTTGGCTGGGTGGGTTCCCATTCTTCTACTTCTTGTTTGCTGTGCTCCCGAGGACTTGAGGCATTGTCTGTTTTCTATTCATCCCCACCCCCCGCATTCCAATTCCCATTGCGTATTTTCTCTTCTCAGCTGCCCGGACAACTTTTCGGTTCATTTTTGACCCCATTGAGTTGGGCCGAATCGCGAGAGAAAGAGAGTTTGTTTTGGGCGGCTCTTTTGGGCACCTCGTTGCCCAGCGGACCAAGACGTTCAGAATCAGCCCTGGTCGCAATCGTCATTCCCATGCGAGCAAACTATTCAGCCCTCTCGTTTGTGAGACAATCTTTTTCTCTTCCTGGGATCCTGGGATCAATGATAGCCTAGAATATCATATACAGTACTGGTCGGCGCCAATAGATCCACGTCTCTTCCCTTTTCCGATCTCACCTTCCCGAAGGCCATAACAGTGAATATGGATTTCCTGACCAAGGACCTCCTGTTGAAAAAACGCACCTCATTTTCGTTCCTCTTCGGTTCAAAAGTGTGTAACTTACCCTCTATAATCTTCCGAGACATCTCAAATCCGAGAAGCATGGCTCTGCGGTTCACCAACGTCAGTAAAATGATACTAAAGGAATAGCCACAGAAACCCACCTTCGCCCTTCACGACGAAAGCCTTGATGACCAACCTCCACGATACTACGATCTCTCCCCACAAAAACATAATAAGAATGCCATCGTCCGAAATGAAGCCGAAGAAGACGAAGACAATCTCCTGAGCACCCGCCAAGAGCTTCCCTCGGATCTGGAAGCTCAGGTCCGCTACGCCTGCTCATTGCTCGTTTACCGCATTGAGCAAGGGATTTCCTCCAATTACTGCCCCAATCGCGCCAAAGAAGCGGCTGCAGCCCGAAAGAAACGTATCTCCACTATAGCCGCCGCCTCTAGCCTCTCAGGGAGCAGTGCGGCCGCGGCCGCGCAAGTTGAGGCGAAGTACCTCTTGTCCAGCACCACCAAGAAGCTTCGCAATGGGATGATTGGACGATTCGGAAATGGCATCTTTGCTCGGGATGGAAGTGAGAAACATGATTCTGGGGTCGGGTTGACACAACAGCCGAGTATAGCGACGATGAGAGAGGGGCAGCGGTCCAAGCTGGGATCCTCGCACTCAAATTATACCACGACCTACGGCGAGGACTCTCTCAAATCTGTCATGTCGCAGGTGGGAGCTACTGCGGCTGTAGCACGGGGAGAGGAGAGTATGATTGTTAGCCCGATCTCGCCCACAGCACCCGAGGGCGAAGAGGATGTCATCATCAGTCCAATCACAGTATCGACGACCACCACAACTACGACGGAGTCCGAAAACACAGTCTATCGAACCGTGCCGACAAGTCTCTCGCCAACGGACAGCAGTAACAACGGGACGAGCAGCGAAGACACGAGCCCGACCTCGTCCGTCGACCACAACCAACAACAGCACATCAACCACCAGTTCCTGACGCGGGGAGCAGCTGTCGCGACAGGCCACGAAAAGAAGCCCTGCTGCCAACGAGACCAAGACACCGCCACCTTCCTGTCCCCGACTGACCCGGTGCCGAATCAGCAACAACACAATTCTACCGCGTCCCATGATGAGAGACCCGACGCCACCAACGACTCTGACGTCGAGGTGTTCCTCGACGCCGACACTGCCGCGGAGTATATCACCTCGTCTGCCGGGGGAGTCGGCGGCGTAGGCGGCCCCGGAGGCGTGGCGATGCCTCTCCTAACAACCAGCACCCCGAGCCTCGGCCTCTCATCTGTAAATTCTACTTCCGTTCGACAGTCGAGGATCTACAACGCTGCCGCTGCCACAACAACTTCCGTCCTCATCACTGAAGCAGAAATCGCCGCTACCGAGGAGGAGGAAGAAGAAGAAGAAGAAGAAGAAGAAGAAGAAAACGACACCTCCAAGACCAAGCGACATTCCACATACACACCAACATACCCCTTGCACCTGCCTCCGGATGAGATCCTGTCAGGAAGAGGAGGAGAAGAAGACGAGCCTCCCACGATAATCGACACGAACGGCAACGCCCACATCATGACCTCGGCCGAAGAGCTCGAGCGCGACCTCGGCCTCCAGCAGGCGGTGATGGCCAAGATGAAGACGGGGAGTATCCTTCTCCTCTCCTCTTCGTCATCATCCTGTTCGCCCACCACCGCGGGGATCGACGGGACGGAACGCACGCGTAGAAGCCACGACCCCGCTCCCACGACCACGGACAGTGGCAGTGGCCCCGACGATACTCCGACACCGACCCTCCCCCGCCTCCCGGAACCAACGCACACCGTCCCCCCGCGTCGACCGGGGACCAGTGCATCGAGACTAAAGACCTCGTGGTCGGCTCTTAGCCACTCCACGGCGTCCGTATCGGGGAAGCTGAGACGGCGGTTCCGACGATATGGCAACGACGACGACGATGACTCGATCATTGACATGGAGATGGAGAGTCGGCGGCCGACGCCTACGACGCTGTTCAGGCGATTAGCGGGCTGGCTGACTGGACGAGCAAGTAGCCGGGAAACGGAGATAGAGAACCTCTCGAGGACGTCGTCGGGTCTGGAGGGCGTGCTGCCGTATCAGGGCACGTGAATGAATTACTATGAATCAATAACGTTTGAATTGGACGAAACTATTTATGAAATGTGTCTCTGAAATGTCTCGTGTATGTATGTCCGTGTTACGTTATTCGGAATGTATTTATACTCGCGAGCCGAGTCACCCCCAGGAGATCTACGATCGTACTTGTGATGTTAGAGCCGCGGCAAATGGTCGACGTATGCTAGGTAGGATATCTACTACGTTACGCAGGTGATACTACGTCCATAGCAGAGACGCCAGTCCAGAGACAAAAATGTATATCCAGAAGGTATCCAT